TCACTTATTGAGCTTTCAGCACAAAATTGGTCACAAAATATTGCTTAAAAAGCTGTCATCACTTTTACTGCTTTCAGAGCTTTCAATGGCTGTACATGTCATTACATTAGTCAATAATAAGTATTATCGCAATGAATAAAATAATTTTTCGGGTTTTAAGCTTTCGATTGTTTTCTAATGAAAGCAGAATAAAGCTTTTGATAATTTCGGAATGAATATATAAGCATTGACATACAAAGCTTTTGATAATTCCAGAATTATTATATAAGCACTTGCGTATAATGCTTTCGGAAAACGATTTGCCTCTAAATATTGTCCTTAGAGCTTTCGAAATATTTGAATTTCTGATCTTTTCAAACATTGGAACGAATACACATATAAGCACTGGCATATAAAGCTTTTGATAGTTTTGGAATGACTAGCGTATAAAGCTTTCGAAAACGATTTATCTTAGAGCTTTCGAAACATTTTTAGTTTTCTGAACATTTCAAACCCCTATGAGTTTTCAATTGCATTAGAATATTTAAAGCAACCTTGAATTTCAGAAATCAAAAAACCAGAAACTTCGTCTTACTTGCCATATTACCGCTTTTCAGTTTTCTGACAACCCATATGGAGTATAATTCTATTTGAAAAGCTGGTTCAAAAGCTCTCTTAAACATTTACTCCTGAATTTTGAGTCTGAACAATGATTTACTCTCATGTAAATGTTGAAAATAGAAATTCTATGCACCCGAAAAATTCTTATTCCCTTCATTGCCTCACTCTGTATATTTGTCGTTACTCAAAGGTAAAGCTCTCAAATCGTCTAAAAGCAACTCAAAGCAAGCGAAGTTTTTTATTTGCTTTGTTTTGTTGTTGCTTTATCTACTTCCCACTAGCTGTCGGCAGCGCGGTACACCAAAGGTGGGTCACCAACACACAAACATTATTGCCCGCGCACTTACTTTGTTACGTGAAATTTGTTAAACACACAAAGCTGTGAATTTGCTTTGCTTTCGCAGCAAGTTTTGAAGTGCATGCGGCGAAGCGCAACCAGTTTTTTGCTTCTTATTGCCGGCAACTTGCTTCCTTTGTATGTTGCATTGTTAATTGTATGCAAGGCTTTGAAATTAATTTAAGGATTTTTATTCAATGATTTTTACTTGCATTACTTTGCTTGACATTTTTTATGTTTTATGTGAGTTACATTGTATAATTAATTATTTCAGGAAACTCGCTCGCCCTTGTGGTTACTGTGGCTAAGTTCGAGTTGCATACCACATTTGCTTTCTTATCACTTAATCGCCACAAACCAGAAATCAACTTAACTTTCAAAGTGAAAACTTGCAATTGACATTTCATGAAATATGCTTTAACGGTACACCCACATCAATTTCGCACGCACAAACTACAGTGGACACACTTGCCGCATCTTATTTCAAGTCATTGGCAAAAGTTTTTAGATACGGCGGTAATAAGCGCTACTTGCCACATTCACTAGCTGTCCGTCTGACTTACTTAGTGAATTGGGAACTTAACTTAACTTACAAAAACAACAAAACAGTTTTTTTCTTTTCTCACTCACCTTTTTCCTCAAAGTTGCCAATCAGCTTAACGTCGATCGTCTCGAAGTAATCCCGCACGCTGTTGCACTGTTCGCGTGTGTTTAAAATTTTACTGGTCGAATCGCGCTGCAAGCGGCGCCTGTGATGTGCATGCTGTTGTTGTTGTTGGTCATGATGAGCATGAAAATGATGACCATCGAGATGTTTCGCGTCGGCCGCCGATGGCAATGCCAAACAACTGCTGGCCACTAAAACGGCAATGCAAACTTGCAACAGCAGAAATAGTCGACGTAGTTGTTGTTTTTTATGCGCTGCTGCTGCTGTTATTGGCTTTGTGGCATTCCGTTTGCCGGCAACTTCGACGGCGTGAGCCATACTAGCACGTGTGCGTGTGTAGGTGCGTAGTAGTAACAACAAATTTGGTGCGCACACTTTTTGCTTGCTTGTTGCTGTTGTTGTATGGCTTTAGAGCGCTTAATATGACTTTATGCGTGTTATAAACGCCCAACAGGCGATATTTAACTACTTTTAATGTGCTTTAATTATTCTGACTGTTGTTGTAGTTTAATTTAATTCTGATTGTTATTATTAATTTTGTTGTTATAATGTCGTCGGCAACTTCCCTTTGATGTAAGAGTATGCAAATAATTAACACAAGACGTCGCCTTTATGTTGGACCGCCAATCGAAAACACATAACACAAAACTGTAAAAAACAAAAACAATATGAAAAAGGAAATAACCGGTTTTAGAAAAATCGAATTTTAGAAAATCTCGGCCAATTAATAGATTTAATTAGAATTTAATTTCACAATGAAACACTTTGATTTTGCACGAACGCCCATGAAATGGCTATATATCTACTAAATATATAAAACAAAAAAATATTTTCACAACAAAAATTATAGTGACAACAATAAGTATCACTTTTTGATCAATAACAATGCGTGTATTCTTTTTTTCACAACTTGCCACCTGCCGTTGCACGTCTCACAAATGTGTTAAATGTTCAATGTTGTTCACATGTGTTACTGTCAGCACTTTTTATACGTATAAGACGCCGCAACTCGCCGCTAATTGTGGCATAAATCAGCGCCAAGTGTTTTTCTTCCACTTTGCGTCACTTTCTTCCGATTGTCTATTGTGCTTTAGGAATGCTGCACTCGCGTTTATTTTTAGCCGCCGCACACTTTCTTGCTTCCCTCTTTATCTAAGTATGTGTATGTGTGTCTTAACCCGAACAGCTGACTGTCTCTTATTGCAAGCGCTCGGCCAACAATGAAAGTCGCGCTGCTGACAGGTTGTCGCGTTGTATGATACAATCGAAACGCTTCCGCACACACTTGTCAATAGTGAAGTTAAATTTAGCTGAAACGACCACAGTGCGGCACTGCGCTGAGTGTACATGTGAGAGTCAAAGCGCTTATATAATTTCTGCTCGGGAAAAATCACAATTTTCACCGCCTTGAAAAGTTAAGATTTATTTATTCACATAGGAAATCGTATTCGAAGCTGTCGCATTTAATTTGACTACTCTTATATTCGCTGTCTCCGTTTAACCACGCTACCAAGCGTTTCACACAACTGCGCGTAAATCGTGCACGGCCAATTGACCAAGCGCTCAAGCTTTTAGGAACGCGTCTGCCGCGCTGCGCGTCTAACACTCTATGTCCTCCCACCGCGCGCACAAACGCGTTTATTTACTTACGTGCGCGTCTAATTCAATTTGAGCAACACGTTCGACGACCGCCAGCAATACCCGACAGTTAAACGGCAATATCTCAATGTGACCGATAAACCGGCAGAAGATACAAAAGAAAGAAGAACGTGAATAAATCGTCCATATGTTTATTTTCTTACTTGCAGGGCTGCGGCGTAACACGTTGCGACGCGTCTGCAGACGACGTTAGCAGCGCTCAATCATAAGAACGGCAAACAAACAGCGGGGTCACCTTTCGTTCTACTTATTTGCACTTGATCGTAGCGCTGTTGACTGATTGTTTTTTCACGAGCGTTTTGCTATTATTTTAGAAGTTTGTTTGGCACGTTTCTTTGGCTATGACCGCGCGTCGGTTTAATGTGCGAAATGACACATTAAGCGAAACGCTAACAAAATCTTAATAGAATGCATAATTTTGTATGCCTTTTTGGCTAACGCTATAATAACGCGCGCTCATATAACTCACGTTTTTATTGCTCAGCAGCTGATTTTTGTTGTCACTTGTTCCCACTTCGCGCACAGACATTCAACCACTTATACAAAATCACAAAATTTACACAACTACTTGCAGCTTATAAACGATTGTAGCAACAAGACTTGTGTGTTTTTATTGATTTTGTTTTTGTTTTCGCTTCTCTTACAACGCGCAATCATTAATCGCTTGTTCTATTTTCAGTATTTTATTTGTATTTGCTTGTCTGCTTTGATTATTATTAGGCGCTCGCTCGCAAGAACACTGCAAACGCTTTTAAAAAAAGTGACATAATCGTCCACTAAACCGCAAAAACACAACGCGCTGACAAAAACATAGAAGGTTTAAGGCCAATAAAGCTGGTCAAGACACGGCCAACACTGAGAATACTCACAGACTTTGCAAAAATTTGAACTACCACAACCAAAAATGCAACAAAACACCGTGTTGCGACATGAAATTAATAATTTATACAAAATTTCGTTTGCGCTGAACTCTGCACTGTTAATAGCATACACACTTCCAATCAATGGATATTACACACATATGTAAATATTTTTTTTCTCAATTTCTTCTGAACTTTTATTTTTTGCTCGCCTTCAAACACAAAACACAATCTTCACTAGCAAACGCACGTCGCTGCGCTTCTTTGATTTTATTTACTCACTTCGTGTTTATTCGCTTATATTTCATGCATTGATTCTGTTATTGCTTATTTCATTTACTTTTCTTTTCTTAACACTAATATTTTCCTCTGCTTCTCCACTTGCGTTTAATTATAAACTTCGCGCGTCTCACAGCGCTTTTGACTCTTCATTTGCTGGCTATGACTATTGCACGGTATTTCTTTTTYTATTTTATTAGCTCTATTTCTTTTTTCTCCACTGTACTCATTTGGTTAACTCGCGTTAAATAACCGTTTCTCCACTATGCACGTCCGAACAGTCCAACAACCCGGGTACGTATAGCGTTTGAATAGCGAGAATTTTGGGAAATGTTCGCTACGGATTGGATCGAACATTGAGTTCAATGTTCGCTTCGCACAAGTTCGTTGTTCGATGTTCGGTTGCACGGTTGCAATGTTCGCTCGAAATGTTCGTGTCCGGTGTTTGAGTTGGAACAAAATGCCGGTAGAACAGATTTCTGCTGGCTAATACAGTGGTGGCGACGAGAGAATAGCGAAACGTAAGTTTTTGTATAGAAGAAGTTCAACAAAAATGTTAAGAAATTAAATATTTCAATTAAAAATTAAAGTTAAGTTCAACCAAAATAATAAAATTTAAAAATTTTCTAATCATGAAGTACACTGCACATAACTTGTATAATTGGTTATAAACAGATATCGGATAATCAATGTTAAAATTATTACACTGAATTAAAAAAAAAATAAAAAATTACAAAAAAATGAAAATGCGTTTTCCTTGAGTTGCCAATAAAATTAAGTTGTTGTCTTTTAATTAATGAAACACCTCAAATATTCCAAACATATAGCAATAAATTTATCCTGAACAAGGTACATATATCTGTATACATATATGTATATTAAATTTGCCAGGAAGTTGTATGTATATACATACATATGTCAATAATCAGCATGATGAGGTGAACCGATTTAACCGCGTCGCCCTGTCTAATCTCTCAATTTTTGAGATATCCATCTAAAATGTCACATGTCCTTTTCTACGCAAGAAGCTGCTCATTTGTTGGAACGGCGGATATTGGACCAATATTACAAATAGCTCTCATTCAAACTGAACGATCGAAATGCGTGCGTGGAAATATTTTTCATTTGACGAGATCTTTACCAAATTTGGCATGGGCTATTGTCTAAGACATTACTGCAATATCAAAAGAAATCGTTCAGATAGGATCATTGTAGTATATATGTTAGTTGCTATACAAAATGAACCATCGGAGTTAAGTTCATTTAAGGAACTTCTCTTTGTCATATTCATCTCATAATTATCAAAAATAGTTTTTGAGTTACAGACTTCAGGTCAATCATCTCAATAAGTTTATCTTTCAAAGTTTTTCTCAAAACTAAATTTTTTTAAGTTTGCTTGCGTAACCAATTGTCTAATATAAGAATTGTTCTGTATTATACATATCTCTTCATACAATTACTTACCTTGATCTCATTGAAACCCCATTAACGTTTTAGGTAAAGTTCTACTTTTTTTAAATGCCCCCATATTATCAAGTTTTGACTTTTTCGTCAATATGTCATAGACTTATTAGTTTTAGGTTTCATCTACGTTCAGGACAGTTGAGGATAACCATTTTTTAGCGCCGTTGGAGATCACTTATAACTCGAAAATATTYATATTTTACTTTATGCTCTTAATTTTTAAAACATAAAAACAATTAAAACAATCATTTATTTAATTCCGTAAAATTATGGTAGAAATGATATATCAGGCCTTTATGCACATAYTCAAAAATTGGACAATTTAAACTAAAATTTACGCCATTCGTTATATTTTGAATCCCAAGAACACATCCATAAATTTAGAATACAGCTCAAAAATTATATGCAGAATAAGATGATAATTCTAAACTTCAACATCTTGCAAAACATATAGCACTTTTATCATCATATTCGATTATTGGTTGTCAAAACTGAGAAATTTGAAATTTGGAAATCTTTTCAACACACTAGGTATGTAGGTACGAACATGTTTTATCAGCAGACGTTGGGATATTTTAATCTACCGCTGAGAGAAATATTAAGAGAATGTTTGAGTCTGGCTTGGAAGCCTGAAGCCGAATTGCTTTAAAAGCCAAACACCGCAAGCAAACTTTCCAAATACTCGCTATAAGAAATGGCCATATACGGATATATGGGAATTTTCTAGATTTTTTGCTGTGAAACTTTTAAATTTGATGTATCAAAAATGTGGAAACATATTACGGTATCTTTTAACAGTATTTTAATACCTAGTATTAGTAAAAATATTTATTTGGAAAGGAACTTAGACTGATCTCCGGGAGATCCTCTTATAATGCCTAAAAACCCATTATAATAATTTCTTAGAATGACAATCACTATTGTGTTCCTAAATTCCGTTGCTCATCATCTTGGCTAAACTTTTTGTTGATTTTAAATTTATTTTCTGTACAGCCCTTTATAACTTAAATTAATAATTAAGCTTTCGTATTGTAAAATATATTTCGAATGCCGTCATAAAAGTTTCCTAGAAAAAAATCTTAAACCCCAGGCACTAATTTATTAATTTGTAACAAGGAAAC